AGTAACAGATCAGAATCCATGTCAAGTATCATATAAAAATCCAGGTCAAGTATCATATAAAAATCCAGGTCAAGTTTCATATTAAGATCCAGGTCAAAAACCAGATAAACTATTCATATGATAGTTTTAAACAGTAAGATAACACTGTCAGGAAACACACCTGTAACAGTATGAGAAATCAGATAGGGAAGCCTACTATTGAGTTTGTCGATCACGCTCTGCTACAGCGCTAGATCCTGCGAATTGAAAAATCCATATTGGAATCCTAATATAAATAATCTTAATCTTTATTTAAATAATATACGGAAACCTACGGGTAATTCTTATAGTACGCGGTTCGGCTGATCTGACGAACGAACAACTCTAGACCAAATTGATCCACGCTCAGGTGAAACACGAGTACCTTCATAAAATATTTTATTGAATCAATTCCTTAACCAAAACTCAAATAAATAATCAAAATACTAAAATATTAAGCCTTTTTGGGTTCACATGCTCGATTCGGGAATTTCGGGTCAAAATTTGGCAAAACGGACTTCGGAATCAAATTCAGGACGTCGAAACACATAAAATATGACTTTCTGAAAATTTGAATTCTTGGTCAAAATTAAAGTCAAAGGGTTTGACTGACTATTTGAAGACTTTCAGGTTTAAATTTGGTGAAACGAACCCCAAAAATAGATTCGAGACGTCGAAAAATGTCAGGATAGGTATACTCAGAAAAGATTAAAGGTCGTTTAATGATCGGTCAAAGTGGGTCAAAGTTCTGGTCAAAATAATTTACAAAAATAGCATCATTTTCAAAATAATTACTAAAATATCACTATTTTAAAAAAAATTACGAAATTGTCACTTTTTTTAAATTTTGTTTTACAAAAATAACACCCTTTTCAAAATAATTACCAGAATAGCACCATTTCCCAAATAATTACCAAAATAGCACCCGGTCAACAGTCAACGGGTTGGGTCGGGTTACAACTGGTCAAATCGGTTAAAAACCGGTCATTTGACCTTCCCCACGCACAGTGGCGGCGCGTGGGGGCCCGTGGGACGTCTTCCGGCTGCGTAAAATTCACGGAAAATTTCTAAAAACTATTTTGAGCGATTTCGAGATACTTACAAAGCTCGGTTCAAATTTTTGAACGGCGGAGAGCTCGATTTCAACAAATCGGAAACTTTGACCGTCTCACCTCCTCACGCGCCGCCATCGACAGAGCCCAAGGATGACACCGACGGACTCGCAACGGCACAAAGAACACGATGGTGCAGGTGGTGTCGTAAATGGATCAACGATTAGTGGTGAATTTAAGATTTTCTCGGCGATTATGCTAAAAAACGTCGAGACTTTGACTTGAAATTCCCGACGTTTGGCAACGTTTCACTTTAATTAATTTAAGGGGTTTGTTCCTCGCTCGATGATGAACAGGATGGTGGTTTCAAAACGACGATCAAAATTCAAACGCGTCGGGATCGTGGTTGGAAGATGGTGTTGGGGGAGGAAATTTTGGGAGCAATTGGTTTCTGAATTTCAGAAACCAATTGCACGTATATAATACCAAACTCACCAACCATTCTAGGGTAAATTCAGGGCTTGGTCCCTAAATTTACTTCATCTATAAAACATGCTACAAGTTTTGAGAACTTTTAATTTAGTCCCCAATTTCACCTAATTACTTAATTAAATTCTCAAATTCCAATTATATATATATATATATATATATGGGTTGTTACAGGCACGTCTAAAAAACACCTTTAACATGAAAAACAATAAATAAATAAACCTAATTTTCCACACACAAAAAACTTGGAACACTTAAAATAAGCTAATCTTCTTAGCATGCAACTGTTGCACGAAATAAATAAAATGGAATTCTACAGGGTAAGAGAAGCAACACTATGAACCCCTTACTATCGCACCCGAAAAATATACAAGATAAACAACTTATCGGCAATTAACCTTTCGACAACGCATATCTATTGGAATGAAATCTTAGACAACAAGTTTAAATGCCATGCACAGTACCAACAAGGTTTAGAAAACTAAACAAAATCCATCTTAACTATTTTAAGATAATATAAATCTAAACAATCATTACATATCTATTATAACAATGGATACAACTTCAACCTCCGCTATCTCTGGGAATCGAACCCACGACCACATGGTTAAAAGCCATGCGCTCTACAAGCTGAGCTAAGACAACTAACAATTATAAACTTAATTTTACACGAATCATAAATATTTATCCATATTTAAAATCTATAAAGTATTGTTTAGAAAATGAGATACATGTAAACTAATATTTCTCTTTTTTCACACAAAAATTGAAGCTAATTGTACATTTGGGATTAAATCAAATAAAGAACAAGGTTAACCCATAACTTTTTGAATAAAAAACACTGATAACTTGGAAAACTTAAAAGATACTAATATTTTCAGCATGAAACCATTACACATAAGAAATAAAATGGAATTGTACAGGTTAACAGAAGCAACACTATGAACCCTTTACTATTGCGCTTCAGAAAAATAGAAGATGACAACTTATCGGCAATTGCCCTTTCTACAACACATACCTATTGGAATAAACTCTTAGACAACAAGATTAAAGGGCATGCACACTACTAACAAGGTTTATAAAAAATACATCTTAACTATTTTAAGACAATATAATCCAAAACAATGATACATATCTATTATAGCAATGGATACACCTTCACCCTCCGTCGTTTGTGGGAATCGAACCCACGACAACATGGTTAAAAGTCATACGCTCTACCAGAGTAGCTAAGATAGCTAACAATTATAAAATTGATTTTACACATATCGTAAATATTTATCCATATTTATTATTTATAATTTATAAAGCATAATTTAGAAATTGAGATACAAGTAAACTAATGTTTCTTTATGTTTTTCAAAAAAATAAATAAATAAAGGTAATTGTACATTTGTGAATAAATGAAGTTAAGAACAAGGTTAACGGTTAACTTTTGGAATAAAAAATACCTCCAAAAAAGTATTTTAGAAATGTTGAAAGAATTGCTTTAGTATTTTAGCCTCTTACTTTATGATATAAATATATATATATATTCAGGAAAATAATTTAAGGTAACTTATTTTCTCACTTTCTAACATCAATTCTATTTTCTAAATTTATATTTTTCATAATATACTTTGTAAACAATATCAAACTATTTAAAGTAACATAACAATCTGATAGAAAAAATATTTTTAAAGCTCTTTCTAAAAGTTCTTCTTTTGAAGCGCTTCATTTAAAGGCACATCTCAACAACACTTTTAACTTGAAAAACAATGAATAAATAAACCTAATTTTCCATGAAAATATTATTTCATATTAAATGAAATAAAGACCAAGGTTAACTTATAACTTTTTGAATAAAAAATAACTCCTAAAAATTATTTTAGAAATGTTAAAAGATTTGTTTTCATATTTTATCCTCATACTGTATGATATACATATATACACAGAAAAATAATTTAAGGTAACTTATTTTCTGACTTTATAACATCAATTCTATTTTCTAAATTTATATTTTTCATAATACACTTTGTAAACAATATCAAACTATTTAAAGTAACATAACAATCTGATAGAAAAAATATTTTTAAAGCTCTTTCTAAAAGTACTTCTTTTGAAGCGTTTCTTTTAAAGGCACATCTCAACAACAATTTTAACTTGAAAACATTGAATAAATAGACCTAATTTTCCACGAAAAAACTTGGAACACTTAAAACAAGCTAATCTTTCTGGCATGTAATCGTTACACACAGGAAATAAAATGAAATTGTACAGGTTAACAGAAGCAACAATATGAACCCCTTACTATCGCACCAGAGAAATATAGAAGATAAACAACTTATCGCCAATTACCTTCACGACCACATATCTATTGGAATAAAATCTTAGACAACGAGTTTAAATGTCATGCACACTACCAACAAGGTTTAGAAAACTAAAAAAAAAATTATGTTAACTATTTTTAGATAATATAAATCTAAACAATCATACAAATCTATTATAACAATAAATACAACTTCAACCTCCACTGTCTGTGGGAATCGAACCCACGACCACATGGTTAAAAGCCATGCGCTCGACCAGCTGAGCTAAGACAACTAACAATTATAAACTTAATTTTACACGTATCGTAAATATTTATCCATATTTAAAATCTATAAAGTATTGTTTAGAAAATGTAATACAAGTAAACATATATTTTTCTATGTTTTTCACAAAAGAAATTGATACTAATTGTACATTTAGGATTAAATGAAATAAAGAACAAGGTTAATCGATAACTTTTTGAATAAAATATAACACCCAAAAATTATTTTAGAAATGTTAAAAGATTTGTTTTCATATTTTATCCTCATACTGTATGATATACATATATACTCATAAAAATAATTTAAGGTAACTTATTTTCTCACTTTCTAACATCAATTCTATTTTCTAAATTTATATTTTTCATATTATACTTTGTAAACAAGATCAAACTATTTAAAGTCACATAACAATTTGATAAAATATTTTTTAAAGCTCTTTCTAAAACTACATCTTTTGAAGCATTTCTTTTAAAGGAACATCTCAACAACACTTTTAACTTGAAAAAATGAATAAATAAACCTAATTTTCCAAGAAAAAAAACTTGGAACACTTAAAAGAATCTAATCTTTTCAGCATGTAGCCGTTACACACAAGAAATAAAATGAAATTGTATAGGTTAACAGAACGAACACTATGAACCCCTTACTATCACACTAGAGAAATATAGAAGATAAAAAACTTATCAACAATTACCCTTTCAACAACTCATCTATGTGAATAAAATCTTAGAGAACAAGTTTAGATTTCATGCACATTACCAATAAGGTTTAGAAAACAAAAAAAAAATTACATCTTAACTATTTTAAGATAATATAAATGTAAACAATCATACAAATCAATTATAACAATGGATACACCCTCAACCTCAGCTGTCTGTGGGAATTGAACCCACAACCACATGGTTAAAAGCTATGCGCTCTACCAGCTGAGCTAAGACATCTAACTATTATAAACTTAATTTTACATGTATCGTAAATATTTATCCAAATTTAAAATCTGTAAAGTATTGTTTAGAAAATGAGATATAGGTAAACTAATATTTCTCAATATTTTCACACAAATAAATTGAAGTTAATTGTACGTTTGGGATTAAATGAAATAAAGAACAAGGTTAACTTATAATTTTTTGAATAAAAAATAACTCCAAAAAAATTATTTTAGAAATGTTGAAAGAATTGTTTTCATCTTTTAGCATCATACTTTATGATATATATATATATATATATATATTATAACACCCCAATTTAGGGGCTAAATTTAAGAAATTATAAAGTGGATTAAATTGTAAAATTTCAAAGTTGGCAGACCGTTTTAAAAAGTGCAGGAAGTTCAATGACTAAACTCTTGGTTTACCCATTTTTTATATAGGATGAATATAAACCCCATTTCGACGATAAGTTCCCATAATACTTCTCATTTTCCCATAATACTTCTCATTTTCCCATTCCCCTCAACCCTTTTTTCAACTCCAATCTACTCGCCGTTCGACCTCCGATCGACAAACTGAAACTACCATCGTGTTTGTTGTCGACCGAGGAATAATACCCCTCAAACCTTTCGTCTTGAATCATCGCCGTTTGTCGTTAATTTCAGTCGGAAGTATCACCGATAATAACTCGATTTCAGTTGGTTTTTTCGTCGATTCATGATGATCTGGTCATCCGTTCACGACACCTCCCGCACCATCGTGTTCCTTGCATCATTCCGAGTCCACCGGTGTTCTCCATTTCTCCGTCGTCGCAACGCGTGGAGGTGTGAGACTGTCAAAATTTCTGACGTTTCGAAATCGAGCTCTCCGTCGTTCAAAATTGTGAACTGATCTTTGTAAGTGCCTTGAAATCGCTTAAAATAATTTTTAGGATTTTTTCCGAGAATTTTCCGACACCATAACATTGTTCACGTGCCGCACGCGCCACCCCCGAGAGTGGGAAACGTTTGGGTGATAATTTTGTAATTAATTTATGTTTAGGTGCTATTTGTGTAAAATTCGTTTGTTAATTTAATAAATATTTGCAGAATGTGGCTAATTTGGTAATTAATTTCTGTTAGGGTGATATTTGTGTAAATGGTCGACTGTTGACCGGCGTTGACCGGAACTTTGACCGGCGTTAAACGACCTTTGACTTTGACCGAGTATACCTATCATGATGTTTTTTGACATTCCAAATCCGATTCCGCAATCCGTTTTTCGAAATTTGGACCCGAAGGCCTCGAAATTTCCAGTCAAACCCGTTGACTTTGACATTAACCGGAAATTCAAGATTTTCGAAAAGTCATATTTTATACTTTCGACGTCCTGAATCCGAATCCAAAGTCCGTTTCGCCAAATTTGAACCTGGTAAGCTGTTTTTCACTGATTTATCATCCGATTCGATCTGTTTTTCAGAATTTAGCTCTGTTTTGATGTAATTTCTATTGATATGGATCTGAGGAAATATTGGAAGATGATTTTAAGATCGAGTGCGTTCGAATGGAATTTAATAGTTGATCAGTATGGCACGAAAATCGAGGTAATACTTTACTACCTCTTTATGCTTTATGGAACATATGAATATTGGTAAATGCATGAATAAGATAATATTGGTCTCATTTGGGTAGTTAATGAATTTCTACACTCGATCCGAATACAGTAGAAATTTGGTAACTGATTATGGTTCAGAGAACTTTTATAAGAAATTGAGGGATTGTTAAAATTAAATTTCAAGTTATGTGTTTGGTAATAAAGAAATCAACCTAGATCTGTATCTTATAATTTATTTCATCAAAGGTCAAATGTTAAAGGTACTTGGATGAGAAATTATGAGAATACTCCGATAGGATAAAATTACAAAAATACCCTTAAGTTGTAATATGTCAAGAATTGTCCCTGGAAGTTGATTTATAACTCTGAAAGGATATATTGATATGATAAAACTACAGATGTGCATAAGAAATGCTAGTTTGCTTAGGAAATTCGGATAATCGGTTTTCAACCCCAAGAGGGTTTATGCATGATACTAGAAGTCTATTAAGGAATCATTTCAAGATTTGAGAATGTTATGAAAAGAAATTAACCATATGATCTTTAAATTATAATTATTTTCGTTAAGAGTTAATATCAAAATTATTTGGTTAAGAAATTAAGAAAATGCCCTTGAGAGGTTATATAGTATGAGTTGACCCTGAATGAGAAAGTACTTTAAGGATTCGTATTTAAGTCGATTAAGTACGGATTTGATTTTTAAGATCCTGACTTAGTGAAGAAAAATTCTTGATATTTCGTTGGTAAAAATATGAGAAGGCATTTGACCTGAAAATAACCAAGATACGAGTAAATACTTGAAGAACAAATTATCGGGGTGCTCTTTTATCAGAATTGTTCGAAGAGACTGAAATAGATGATAAATTGGTATTAAATAATAAGACAGTATAAAAGGAAATTATTGAAATACATCGGATCTGTAGAATGACCAGAATACCCCAATAGTGGAAATGACCCAAGAATATCACCAAGCTCAGGAATGATTGGATATCCTCGAGCTATGAAATGAATGGAATAAAACTGAACACCAAAATAACCTTATGGCCTAAACTAAGTAAATTTCTTAGATTAATTAAGGAATCCAAATAAGCATAGGTATTGGACTACTTTTAAAAGTAATGGAACGTAATTTAAGTGAGTAGATCAACCCTAAAGCTATGTCAATACCTAAATGGCATAGATATTACTGGAATACGTGTTCGTCTTCTCAAGTTTGGCTCAATGATAAATTTTGGAAGTATTCAACTCAACACAACTCTAGATCGCATTCAATACTAAGAATTGGACATTTGTTCGATAAATCAACCACGAAGACCAAATTGAATGGAACGGAAGTACAACATATATCTAAAATTCAGTAACGTTTGAATTACTCTGGAAAATCCCGTAGTAACTGAAATAGACTTGAATGCTAAATGAACTAAGTAACCTCAAGGACTAAGGATTAAGTAAGTGATTTGGATGAGTCTGGAAACGTTAATGAACATACATGATGTAATGTTCTTATGGGTCTTGAACTACAATCAAGCACGTCAATATTTCATGATATAGTGAAAGCGTGAACATGAAATAAAGACATTGGAAGATTTATTCATCGATGATTCCGAAGATTATATATGGACTATAATTTGTGGTATTAAAGTGTAAATACCCTGTAAGGAAAATGAATTGAGCAGTCGATAAGCATTAATTCTGGGAGATATTCATCAGAAGTTGTTTGATAATGAAATCAATCGGCATAGACTGTAAATGTCCTGAATCTTTATTTTTTCCTTATCAGCCCAAGTCAATTTCTGAATAAATGATGATTTCATTAGTATTGAACTCTTCCTATAATGATTCTAAATTTTGATATCTTATCGGTATACTAAAGATTCATGTTTCTCTACCTGCTAAGATTATCCAGTACCTCTGAATAATTTCTGTAAACTATGGTGTGTTCCCTAATCACCTGGATATTTTACCTGATTTCTGATTTGATTTCTATTATAATACCTGACCTGGATTCTGATCTGATACTTGACCTGGATTCTGATCGGATACTTGACCTGGATTTTGATATGATACTTGACCTGGATTTTGATCAGATACTTGACCTGGATTATGTTTTGATTTTTGATATATCCGTTTACGGACGGAACATGTTTTATTTGGGGGTAAAGTTGGAGGAAGTATACCTGGAGAATCCTCGGCTGTGTGCTCAGGGCCTTACTTACCGGCTCCTCGGCTGTGTGCTCAGGGCATTACTAGACTTGACGGTGGGTGTATGGTTTTGGGGAACCTACACATTTTGGACTTGACGGATGGGGGTATATATATATATGTGTTTTAAAAAGATCTGAAAAGTTACATGATTTTTGGGAACACACTAGAGAACCTATTCTGATCTCCTGAACCTAAACATCCCAAATATTTCCCATCAGAACTGAATACTATCTGTTAATACCTGAAATATTAATGGGACCTCAGCTCAGCCAAAGAAATCTGTAGATATATGAACCAATAAGGAAATATATGTTTATCTGTATCTGCACGTTCTTCAGCATCATCTGGTAGTTCTGTATTACTGAGCTTTCCAAAGCTCACTCTATTACTCAACATTGCAGGTTAAAAGAATTGTACTAGTGCAACTATCGACTTAAGTAAGGGAGTTTCCGGCGTTGTTTGCAGAGTATGGTACATGAAATTAGGGGGCATGTAATTGTATTTTGTTTTATATACGAGTCTGAAAATCTATTTTATTTATAAATACTGATAAATGATTTTATAAGTTTACATTTTGATAAAAAGTTTTGAATTTTCTGCTATTTTTACAGTGGGTCACTTCAGTGGCCTTAATGTGACCTCCAGATCGGATCGGGTTACCCGCATCGGTCTGAGGGGTTACATTTAGCGGTATCAGAGCTATGGTTTGGGTTAAATTTTTTCATGATAGACCGGCCGTCGAATGTCAAAATATGTCTGATCAATACATGCCCCTAGACTACAATCGTACCTCTCTGAGCCGGAACTCTAGGGCTGAGTCCCTATCTGTAACGAGTAAACCGAAGTTTCTATTCGTTAAGGCTATACTTGTACAAAAAGGAATATCAGTAACGTTTGTCTAAATTCTGTAAAGTACCTCACGAGCCATGTGAGAGTTACTCATCTGAGAAATTCTGACCCAACTCCAGAAATGAAATTGGGATATGCTGTTGCTCTATGAGCCTATTCAAGTAACCAAGGCTGAATTGATTTTACAAGGATAAAGTTGTTTTGATTATTTACTTGGACTGAGGGAGAGTTCTGATAAGAATATATACTCAATTGGTTAAGGATTAGTGGATGATCCGTATTTCTATAAGAGTTGCATGAAAGATATAAAAAAACTAATGGAAGTTTCATTTTTGAAATAATGTGACATGAATGAATTTCGAGGA